TACATCCTCTGGATGGGCAGAGCCTTAGTTCATGTGACAAATATAAATGGTACAGCTGCGAGCTGGAAACGTTAAGGCTGCGAGAAAACTTTGAAAAATTTTGGATGTAACACTTTTACTCAACAAGCAGGGACACTGAACCTGGATACTACCAGGTGTCTTGCCTGAGGCGTCAAATAGTTGCCTCTGTATGTCTAAGTCACTCGAAAAATGTCATCAGAGCTGTAGCCTGTAACTCAGGCTCCTTCTGTGGCCAGGATGGAGTCAGGGCCATGATGGAGAAGCCTACAGAAGTCTGGGGCTGGAGTGGGAGGGTTTGAGGAGAGGACTCCAAGGGAAGAGGAGTGGAGATGACTCCACCAGGATGGAAGAGCTGGACTTAGCTGGTGGCATAAAGCCACTGCAGGCACCAGCTTGTGCAAGATGTGTTTGATGGCAGCCCGGGCCAAGGTGGGCTGGAGTGGGCTTTGGCGGGAAATCTAGGAGGGCAGAACCAGCCTGGCAGCACTGGCTCCTAGCTGTGCACCAGAACATGGAAGCTAGAGCCGAAGACTATTTCTTTTTACCCAAAGCTGCAAACATAAAATCTCCTTCACTGATAAACTGATGCTTCTGAGACTTCCGAGTCTCCTCTCTTCTACTCCCTAAGATGACGGCGCTCTTTCAAGCTTTGGTCTACTTTTACTTCTCGCTCAAGCCTAATCCAGTCCTAGATTCCTCCAATCTCTCATAGCAGTCCTGTCTGTATGTATAAGGGTGGGTGAGCAAGGGAACGAATGAACTGTTTATTCATTCAGTGATTTAGCATCTACTCTGTGCCAAATACCATACCAGACAGTATACACACACCTGATCTCTTGGAAGGCTCATACGAATTTCCTCTTTTATTAAAACCAATGTGCAAACTTGAATGTGCATCAGAATCACCTGGAAGCCTTGACCAGATTGCTGGGCTGAATCAGGCTTTCTGATTCGGGGCAAGACTTAGCATTTTAAAACCAGTTTCCAGGTGCTGCTACTGCTGTGGTTCAGGGACCATGCTTTAAGAACAACTGTTCTAATAAATGTGCTGACCACCTGGGCACAGTCCAGAGACAGAGTGCACATTGGCTGAGTATTTACCGTGTGTCAAGAGGAAGCAGGATCTCAGGGAGGCGAGGCCCAGAGCTGGAAATGACATACCTGCTGCTCTGCCTGGTTCATGCTCTCCCCTTACAGCCTCAAGGTCAGTCCAGTTTTCATTCCTCTGAGCAATGTGTGGGTGAGAGTGGAGCTTGAGAGGTTAACGGAAGGACAGGTGTCTTGTAGTCAAGTTTCTTGTGATGGAAGGGGCTCCTGACCCCGCAGAGGCAGCTATATCACAGTTAATCAGTAACTCACCATTCCCCCCTCCCCCCAGCCCCTGGCCACCACCATTCTACTCTCTATCTCTATGCATTTGACTACTATAAGTACCTCATATAAGCGGAGTCATACAATATTTGTCCTTTTGTGACCGGCTTATTTTATTTAGCATATCCTCAAGGTCATGCACATTGCGGCGTGTGTCAGAATTCCCTCCCTTTTTAAGGTTGAGTAATATTCCATTGCATGGGTGTACTATATTTTGTTTATGCATTCATTGATCAATAGACTCTAGGGTAGCTTCCACCCTTTGGCTATTGTGAGTAATGCTGTTATGAACATGGGTATACAAATATCTTTTTGAGACCCTGCTTTCAATTCTTTTGGATATATACACAGAAGTGGAATTGATACATCACATGCTACACTACTTGGGGGAAGAGAAGAGGGGGAGAGGAGTGGTAAATAAGACCTTTTGTGGCTCAATTAAGGCAGCCCTTCCCCAGGAAGGGAAAGCTAGTGGAAGGAGAGGGAGCGGGTCCTTTTTTATGAGGACCCCACGTCATCTGGGAAAGACAAAACAAGACCCAAACCTTGTTCCCTAGAACAAGACCTAGAGTTAAGGGGATCTAGAGTTAAGGGGATCTGTCCAGAGGGACCAAGGCCCATATGTTCAGAAAGGTAGCAAGGTCTCTAGATCACCTTGAGGAAAGTGGGAGTTTAGGCTGTTAACTCAGGGTCCCCATAAGGACCTAGAAATTTGTGGGAGATGGCAGGATGGGATGAGAGTGTGATCACAGCTGACCTCTTCTCTCAACCCAGCCACCTGCCACAGGGGAGTGCCTTCTAGAGAAAGGGTAAGCCTAGGAGGATGTCTAAGAAAGCTGTTACCTTGGTGCCCAACGGGCGACACCATGGGGCACCCGGGCAGAAACCTGGACCAGCCAGGGCATCCCAGCAGCTGTGCACCAGCAGCTATAAGATGTGTGACACCCACCCCAGCAGCAGAGCTGAGTGTCACTGAGAAGCAACAGCAGGTGGGACCTGCCAGGACCTCTATCCCACTTCCCGCTTCCAGCATTAAGAAGTTGGACTGATACCGTTCCACCTCCATCTCCTTTGGACTAAATAAACCTACAGGGCTCTTGGACAATTCAGGAAAGGGATGACTGGAGAGAGAAAACCAGACTTTCCAATAATATGGATCAGGAGGTCTCATGCAATTACTTCAAAACAATAAAGGAGATGTGGACTTATTGATACTCTGAATCTGTGGGGCAGATCATTCCAGAAATACAGAGGCATGTTGTCCTGCACAGTTCTGGGGGCGCCATCCTCATCACAGTCTATGTGACCAGGACCTCCAGGCAGTGCTCACATGCAGCCTCCACGGCCAGATGTGGTGACGGCCATATGTAAACAGGTCTGCAGTCCTATATCTGAGATCCCCAAATCCAAAAGAGAAAACCTGAAGTTTCTTTCAATTCCTTTCATGATAAAACCTGACCTGAATGGATATCTGTGTTTTTATTTGTTTCACTGCAGAAATGTCAATGTGTTTGAGTATAGGGGATCACCCCCAAGCCCACTGGGGATATTACAGTATACACTCCATACCAAATTATCCAAATCTGAAGCTTTCTGAACTTCAAAACACTCCTGGCCACAAGGGTTTTCAATAGGGGATTGTGGAGCTGCATGTAATCTCAAAATGGTAACAGTGGCCATCACTGGGTGGTGAGATTGCAAGTTATTTTTATCTCCTTTCTAATACTTTGCACGTCCCAAATTATCTGCACTGCATATTACTGTTATAATCAGAAAAAAATATTTGTCATGTTTTTAAGAAAACGTCAGATAGCAACTCCTCCAGCTTCAAGAGCACATTCAGGCCACCCCCAGTTACATCTCTTGACTCCACCTCTTGAATGTGACAGGCTTCTGGGCTGCCTCCAGGGACTAGAGCCCTGTGGGGGATGCCTGCCCAGCTCCCCAGCTCCTCCCAGCCCTCTCCCTGCTGCGAAGCTGCAGTCCTGCTTCCTGGGCTGTGCACCCGTTCATTTTTCCCTGCCTCAGGGAGTTCTTGTACTAAGCTGGCTCAAAGCCCAGCATGCTTCCTGCCCCCTCTGCAAGCAGCACTTCTGAAGCTGCACCCTTCCCATCCATCCTCCCTGGCAGTGTCCCCAAAGTACGGGGACAGCAAGTTCTATCCAGGCCTGGCCACTGGGGATTCCTGTTTTCACTCCACCCCCCACCAGGGGTGGGGAAAAGCTAGGTGCACACCCGGGATCTCTGACTCCGACTGCCCTGGCCCCTTGTCCATCTTCCTGAACCTGAACCCTCTCCCCAGGACCCTGCCAGCTTGAAAAAACTTCACATTCAAATCCTCCTCAGAGTAGACTCCCAGAATATGTTTATGCTCATTCTTTGCTGTGGTCAAACCCACACATGATGGAAATGGACAGATCTAAGTGTGTGCCCACTGCCCTTAAAACAACACAGACTCTGGGGTCTCGCAGGGCCCGACTGGGCCACGGCTTGTAAGCTTCCTCAGGCGGGAACATCTCCTGGGCATGTACTGGCCTCAGAGCTTCCCTCCTCCTTTGTCTCCCAGATCATATGGTTCTCCTGACTGACAAGTGTGGTCCAAGCAGCCACTCAGCTGACATGAGCCAAGAGCGCACCGCCCAGACCAGTGACAGGGCTCTTCTGGGGTCCCAGGGCCCGCAGGATTCTGTGTGTAAGTGGTGTTTTCATAGAGCAGCCCGGCACAGGGCTTCCTCCCCAGCTCCCAGGTCAGTCAGACCCTGGGGTGGAGAAGTTGCAGCCGGAATGCAGCCACCCAACTGACTGGGGCTTAAGGCAACCGCCAGGATGGTTAGCACATAATCACCATGAATCCTTGCAAGTCTCTTCTGAACCCGAGGCTCAGAGAGGTGAAGCGACTTGCTCTAGGTCATGCTTGTGAGGTATAAGTGAGGGAGATGGGATTTGAACCCACATCTGGTCTGACTCCAAAGTCCCCACCACCTCACTAAATTATACGTGCCACCTTCACCCATGATCTCTAAGGCTCGGGAACTCGCTTGACAGATGAGAAACCAAGGCACCGAGCGCTTGAGCCACAAATGCACATCCCAGTTCCACAGGAACCAGGCTTCTTACTAACTCTGATACAGCCTCCGCTCTACCACCCACCCTGGCTCCAGTGGTTAGCCAGGGGGCTTCTGAGAGTTTTGTGCTTTTGTTTCTATATTTGGAGGACTTTTTGGTCTTGTTTGTTTCCTGGATTCTTTGTTTCTGTGGCCCAGGAGATGGAGCACATGTCACCCTGTCTCGAGATTCTTCTGAACAGAGCTGGCAAGGAAATGAGAAAGGATCCTAATTAGGGGGCGATAACCCCACGGAGAAATTCAGATTTTTGCAGCAGGCCGTGTCCTTCCCACAAGCCCTGTGTGTTTGTCAGATGTTTATAGAGCCTTCATTAACAGAGAGCTCCCTTAGATAACAGGCCTGAGTACAGCATCAAGGGCCAGATAAGAACAAGCGGAGGGCACTTCGGGGACGGCAGGCGGGTGAGAGCCTGTGAACTGGCCCGGGTGCGCGGTGCAGAGCGGTGGGCAGGACAATGCGGGCCGGCTCCTTCCCAGCTCCTCCCCACACTCGCTAACACACCGCGGCTGCCGCAGTCTCCGGAGCAGGGCTAGAGCATCCCAAGATGTGCCGCGGGGCGCTCTGGGTGGCCCTGCCTGTGCTCTCCCTGCTGGCCTGCTCCGCGCAGGGCAAGCCACTGGAGATCCGGGGGCGGGGGTCGGCTGGGGCAGATGCCCACCGCCTGCTAGGCGGGCCCGGAGGTGAGCGGGAGCGGGGCACCTTCGACCTGAGGATGTTCCTGGAGAACATGAAGGTGGATTTCCTGCGCAGCCTCAACCTGAGCGGGGTCCCTTCCCAGGATAAAACCCGAGCCGAGCCGCCGCAGTACATGATCGACCTGTACAACAGATACACCACCGACAAGACATCCACCCCCGCATCCAATATCGTGCGCAGCTTCAGCATGGAAGGTAGAGTCGGCTCCACCGGGGCGCCCCGGGTCGGGGTGGGGGACTCAGTGGTCCAAGGCTGCGCTGCCCAGTATGGCGGCCACTGGACCCATGGGACTTTACGTTTCAATTTAAATTAATTTAAATGAAATAAAATTAATAATTTAGTTTCACTAGCTTGACTGCAAGTGCTCAGCGATCATGCATGACTATGGCTACCCTATAGGACAGTGGAGATTATAGAACAGTTCCATCATTGCAGAAAGTTCTACTGGACAGCTCTGCTCTAGAAGATTCTCCCTCCCTGAGCCCAGAGCCACATTTAACACAGTAGGTGCTGAAGGAATGCCAGTTCCCTTCCTTCCATCCCTTCCCTACCTCCCCCTTCCCATACTGTCCCCTTCCTACTTAGACACAGACAACTTATTTAGCCTCCAACTAACTGGTATATTTTTAAACACCGAAGGAATGTCTATTTCTCTCTCATCAGAAGGTGTTTAAAATTCAGATAAATTCCTCCGAGAGAGAAGCATTAACAACAAGAAGAAGTTGTCCGAGGACAACTTAATTATTTTCTAAATATAAATTAATTTCACTGATTTAGGAGGACTAGAAGATAACGAATGTCAGCTTAGGGCTTATGTCCACTAATTCACACAATGTAGGTGACATGATCTTGTGAGCAGGGAAGCCAAGGCTTGCAGACTCTGAGGGAACTTGCCCAGTTCACATATTAGTTACGCAGCTGCATTCTGACCCAGGCCCACCTGTCTGCACAGCTCACTTTCCCTACAGCTGCAGCCTCTCTCTAACCAGCCAGGCACTCAGGGCTTCATCCCTCCTGGGCTTGAGACCTGCAGACTCTTAACAGGTACACGCCCTAGCTAAAGGATGCTGTGGTCATGCTGCATGCCCGGCAAGGCTGTATTTTCTGATGGCCCAAAAGAAGAAGAAAATTCTGGATTTTATGTGAACTTGTCTGGTTTCTAAAACACTGACTTAATTTTTTTGAAATGAAGTCTGCAGGGCTTAATTTTTTGTTTTTTAATGTGGTCTGCAGGTCATACAGATACTGCCAGTGTCTCACTATGCCCATGGGGCGTGTCTGTAACCTCTGCTTTAGGGAAAGGCCAGGCTTCTTTGGCTGGACCTAATCACCAAATCCTGTAGTCTGGGAGTCCAGCATTCACAGCCATCTCAGTGACCCCTCCCCACTCCCCCCATCATTGTCCATGTCCTGGAAACAAGTGCTCTGATCTGATCCCAGCCCTGCCTGTGGCCAGTACTTCTGTGAAGGCCAATTATGCTTCCCTTCACAGATGGCCTGAGTACGGCTCAGAGGGGGAGGGTACTTGTTCTCTAAGTGTCTGATGCAGTCCCAGGGTCATCTTCTAGGTGTGCCACAGTAAGAGCACAGCAGGTGGTTAATGCACTGCTCATGGACCCCACTCATGACTCACATATGCCACGGTGGCTCACCACATGCTGCAGGAGCTAGACTGACACATCCATGCTGTGTGAGGGGACACAGAGAGCTGTGTGAAAGGCCACGTGCTTGGGGGGTGGGGGAGCTGTGCCCAAGTAGGGAAGACGGTCTTAGGAGGACACAGAAATACTGATTGAGCATCTGCTGTGAACCAGGGACAGTGTTGGGTAAGTTCCATGTGCCTTCTTGTTGAAGGCTCACACCAACACTGGGAGGTTGGTAGGATGAGTCCCATTCTACAGATGAGGAAACTGAGGCCCAGAGAGACTCAGGACTTCTCCAAGGTCACAAGTCTAGAAGGGAGAGAGTCAGGTTTGGCCCTTCAGTCTGTCAGATACTGCCGGGTTTCACGACAGCACACAGTATCCCCTCATGTTGGCACATAGTAGGTGCTCAAAAAACACAACTTCTCTTCCCTCTTTGCGACCAGGCCATGGTATAATAGAGATGTGCTAATGGCCGGGTGTCAGCAAGGGGAGTAGGAAAGTGAAACAATTGTGCGGCTAAGAGGCAAGGCCTATGTATGCCTAACATGACCAAGCCGTTGAGGTTAATATATCTTTCCCTCAAACATTAAAAAAAAATCATCCACTTTCATTTTTCTCAGAAGTTACAATTCTGAATGTTTTTTTACACCATTTAGATGCTGAGATTTTTAGCATTGCCATGATGTTGGAATTTTACCATCCCCTCCCATGATGTCTCCTTTAAAATCATACGCTCAGGATCTGCACTCTGAGGCTGACAGTGTGCTTTTCTGTTTTGTTTATTTGATTCTTTTTTTTTTTATAAAGTGAGGATCGTTATATATGCACTTTGGATGCATACATAGGATGTATGCAGTTTGGCAGTTAAACACCCTAAGTCCCAGTCTCCACGTCTGTAAAAGTGGAATAATAATTAGATCTTCTGGGGGTCAGTGTGAAGAGAAAAGTGAAATATAGTATGCAAAGCTCCTGGTGCAAAGCTGGGCACGTAGTAAATGCTCAATAAACAGCTGGAGCTGTCAATTTCAATGTGATGCATCTCCTGCCTCTGTTTTTCTTTGGAAGATGCCAAATGTACGTTTTAAAATATCCTTCTAGGGCTTCCCTGGTGGCGCAGTGGTTAAGAGTCCGCCTGCCAATCCAGGGGACACGGGTTCGTGCCCCGGTCCGGGAAGATTCCACATGCCGTGGAGCGGCTGCGCCCGTGAGCCATGGCCGCTGGGCCTGTGCGTCCGGAGCCTGTGCTCTGCAACGGGAGAAGCCACAACAGTGAGAGGCCTGTGTACCGCAAAAAATAAAAATAAAAAAAGCTTTTAAATAAAATAAAATACCCTTCTACATTAAGGGCTTAAGTGAAAACAAACAGACTTGATAGAGATAGACAATGTCATGCCAGATGCCCTTTCATCTAAACCATGAGTCTCAGCTTTGGTGTCATGAAAACAGACTCTCCCAGCAGATGACTGTCACCGTGTATTTGCATTTCAGATGCCATCTCTATAGCCGCCACAGAAGACTTCCCTTTCCAGAAACACATCTTGCTCTTCAACATCTCCATTCCCAGGCATGAGCAGATCACCAGGGCCGAGCTCCGACTCTACCTCTCCTGTCAAAGTCACGTGGACTCCTCTCACGAGCTGAAAGGAAACATGGTCATTTATGATGTTCTGGATGGAGCCAATGCCTGGGATGCTTCTGGGGGAACCAAGACCTTCCTGGTGTCCCAGGATATCCGGGACGAGGGCTGGGAGAACTTTGAGGTGTCCAGTGCTGTGAAGAGGTGGGTCCGAGCAGACCCCACTAAGAGCAAGAACAAACTGGAAGTGACAGTGGAGAGTCACAGGAAGGGCTGTGACAAGCTGGATATCAGTGTCCCCCCCAGCTCCAAAAACCTGCCGTTCTTTGTCGTCTTCTCCAATGACCGCAGCAATGGCACCAAGGAGACCAGGCTGGAGCTCAGGGAGATGATCGGCCACGAGCAGGAGAGTGTGCTCAAGAAGCTGTTCAAGAACGGCCTGATGGAGGCAGGTGAGAACAAGGACGACGAGGAGGAGGATGTGCAAAGCCACACGGCTGTGAGCTCGTCTTCGGCCAGGCGGAAGAGGAGTGCCGGGGCCAACAACCACTGTCAGAAGACCTCCCTGCGGGTGAACTTCGAGGACATCGGCTGGGACAGCTGGATCATCGCGCCCAAGGAGTACGATGCCTTTGAATGTAAAGGCGGCTGCTTCTTCCCCCTCGCTGACGATGTGACCCCGACGAAACACGCCATCGTGCAGACCCTGGTGCATCTCAAGTTCCCCATGAAGGTGGGCAAGGCCTGCTGTGTGCCCACCAAACTGAGCCCCATCTCCATCCTCTACAAGGATGACATGGGGGTCCCCACCCTCAAGTACCACTATGAAGGGATGAGCGTGGCCGAGTGTGGGTGCAGGTAGTGCTGGCCCGTGGGTGGGGGAGGCAGGGTGGAGGGGGCTCCTAGTGAGAGGTCCTGTGTCCTGCTGGGCATGACAGAGACTAAGTCCACCTGGGTGGCAGCCTGGAGAAGGAAGGGGAGCCACCAGGTCCTTGTGGTAAAGACCTGCTCTCCCTCTCACGGCCCACCCCAAGCACACACCACTGGGTTGAACTGCAGGGGAGGGGAGGCCGACGGGCAATGGGGGTTTGGGGAGAAGAGGAAAGCCTGGAAGTGTTGCTGGGGTGGAAGGGGAGATGAAGAAAAGGGGACAAGAGAAAAATTATCCAGAGTCAGCAGAAAACTGAGCGAAAACGAGGCCAAGGAGTATAGACGGGAGATGCACAGAGATTAATGGAAATTAAAGGACGTGAGAGGCATGGGGTTTATTCCAATAACCTCAGGGAGTGAAGGGGAAAGGAATGGGCTGTGTGCGCCACACCCACTCCACGTTATTCCCACAACCTGTGAGATGGGCGTCGTGACTCCCAATTCATACACTCGGAAGCCAAAACTCGGGCAGTTCAAGTAGCAACAGTCAATGGCATGATTCCAACCCACGGGTCTCCATAGGTCTGTTGATCACCGAAGCCTGGGACCTCCCCAAGTATCCCACTGAGGTTTAGCAGGTCGCCTGGTAGCTGAGGAAAATTAGACTTTGGTGGCTGGGGAGTGCGGGGCAAACGGAACTGAGGCCGGCCAGTACCCAGCAGGATGACTGGGCTGCTGGTCACATCCAGGGAATGTTTCGACTGCTCCGCACCTGTGCTGATTCAGTGTCCAAGTGCTTTTTAAGATGACCCCTAAGTCACTGAAAACTATCCCCTAAAGCAACTGCGGGATGGAGAGAGGCAGGACGGAAGCCCTCAGGTTGCAGTGAACGCTGTTGGCTGGAGGTACTTTGACCTGCTTGTTCATACAGGGTCACTCTCCGCCATGGACTCAAACCGCAAGATGGTTTGGAAGGGGGTGCACAGTTAACCCTGAGGGATGGGGCAGCCCATGGCCTGTGTCTCTGCAGTTACTTAGCACCACCAGTTCACCAGCATCACACACCATGGGCTCCCCTCCCACAAGGACTCGGTGGATGACAAGACCTGGATTTGAATTTGTTGGAATAAATGCGCTCTTGCTTCGGTATTTGCAACATCCCTATTCTTACTCCATGTACTCAGGTGAAGACGTCCAGTCCTCCTGGGTGAGGGCTCCTGGCCACTGGCGAACTCAGGTCCTTATTGGCCGCATTGGCTATGGCTGTACTCACTGGCTTTCCTGAGCAATGTGTGTCCAGCCCTGGTCCTGGGCTTGGGCCTTGGGACCAGGCCCCTTCCCCACTGACCTCAAAAGAGGACCTCTGACTCTTGAGGTCACACATGGAATGGGGTGGATTAGGAAGTTCTGACCGCTGACCAGAGCAGAGCCTATAGGAGGCCTGGAGAGACCTGGGCCATTCCCACTGGTTGAAGTTCCCAGAATATTTTTTTTTAATGGTTTGTGTTAAATGTTTACATGGAACCAAAGAACAGCTTTAACACAAAAATGCAATAAAAACATTATTGTTTAATTACTGGAGTTACAGAAAATGCTAATTCCTGGTACAACAATGTTGCTCAATTGTAAGGAGGGATGACAGACGTCTTTTAGTCCCGGTGGTGTATTTCTGTGTCTGCATCAAAGTTTCACTTGGAAATAAACTCAGAGTCTAATCTGTGGCCTTTCTGGAGTGTGAGGCCTGGGCCTGATGGTCCCCTAGCCCCACACTCCGCCCACCGCCCCCCTTCAGGCCCTTCTTTCCCTGGGGGGAAGTGGAAAGGAGAGCCACGGAGAGGAGTAGACACCTGTGGGCGGTGTCTCTGCAGGTTGGGGGGAATGGGCGCGTCTGTGTAAGAGCCCGTGTGTGGGTATGCGGGCCTGGGTGTGAGCAGGTGTGAAGTGGATACTTGCAAGTGGACAATGACAGTCAGCCCCATGCCTTCCTTGACCTCCCCACACGTCAGGGGCCGGAGGCTGGGCTCTGTCAGAGAGACACATCCGGCCGTAAATCCTGTCTGCCCGGTGTCCTGGGGCCTGCACAACCCTTCCAGCCTCTGCTCCCTCTACATCCCTGCTCAGATGCCCAGCTCCAGCCAGATATACTCAAGGCCACCCGCTGTTCTCAGCCCTCAGGTGACTGCCGTGGCCGCCCCGCCCCCAGCTCTGCAGCCCAAGTCCACCTTCCATGAAGGCCCAGCTCTAGTGCTGCCCACACACACCCCTTGGCCCCACTCTTGATGCTCCCATTCTGAACTTCTTGGCTCTAAGGGACATTACAGTGCTCTTGTCTCCTGGTTGCCATTGGCCTGGTGTGGGGTCCTACTGACCTCTTATCTTGAGCCCTCTGGGGTACCGAGTCCTCTGGGGACAAGGCCCAAGGGCCTCTGGCCTCAGTCACTCCCTGGAGGGCTGATGTGGGTTGTGGCTCAGGACAAAGTGATTAGGATGGATGTGCTGGGACAGAACTTGCAAGGAGATCCTGAGAAATGCCCTCTGCCTTCCATTTCACTGTGTTCTTTCCATCAGACCCTCCAAAGCTTGTCCAGCCCCAGCCAGAGAATGAAATCCAACAGTCCCATCCTCTGGACACTCTGTTATGCAGCCAATCAGCCCTAATGACTAATGACTGCCACAGTCAATGCTGCATTTGTAGTGTGTCCTGAAGCATTCTCATTTTTACCCTCTCAGGGTGATGATCACGGATATGAAGTGGCAGTCCCACAGGGCCGCTTGGTGTCATGTTCTGCTCTTGCCATCTCGAAATTCATAACAAATTTTAAACAAGGGATCCACATTTTCGTTCTGTACCTGGCCCCGCAAACGATGCAGCTGGTTCTAGATGCTTGTGTGGGGTGGCATCTTGGTTTCCCGAGTCCCAGGGACACTCTGGAAGCTGCTTCAGGCCCAGACACTGACAAGATCCTGTAGAACAGGGTGTTGCAGCCTGGCTGCTGAGAGCTTCCCCGGGGTCTGAGTGAAAGGACCAGCCCGGCCCCTTCTCCCTGGCCCACGCCGAGGGGGCCCAGGGGCTTCTCTGGTCTGTGATCAAAGGCAGCAACACTGTTTGGCTCTCAAAGGCTGGTGCATTCCATCTATATGTCAGCTCCCATGGGAGCAGCCTGATACAAAGGGGGTCCCACTTTTCCCAGATGCGCCTTAAAGAGGAAGCCAGAGACTATACACTAGACAGGCAGCACTGGTGGCACACAGATGGCTTCTGTGAGACCAGACTGAAGAAACCTTTTGGAACTTCTTTCCTTTTCAAATCAGATCATCTAACTCAGGTAGAAATCTCACACCGTTGTCTCAACTTCCCTGACACCTCTCACTAGGACGAGCACCCCTCCCCGAGGGAACCCTTTTCATCAGCAGACGACTCCGGTCCTCAGAAAGATGTCCCTGGGCCTGCAGCAAACAGCTGCTCCTCTGCGGCTCTCTCCCGTGAGCTTCTGTTCTGGATGAGGGTTCCCTTCCTCCCAGAGAGCCTGACACCTGAGCTGTCTTGATGGGGGCTAAGGAGCTGGACAGTGAACATGTGAGCTTCGTGGCCCTCTCAGGACCCCAGTATCACACTTGCATTCGGGAGGCCATTTGGGGCCGCACCTCCAGTGCTTTCCAGGTCATCCACATCAGTGCCCAACTGTCCTTCCTTCACCTGGACCATGTTCCTACTGGGCAGCGCTTGGCCGACTTCTTCCTCTGGCTCAGTGACCATCGCCCTGATTTGCCTGGGATGGTTAACATGTGTTGTCCATGTATAATTGAAATTAGGGCCTCTGTTTGGATGACAGGTTATATGGTGTCCATAGTCAGGGACAGCTCAGGGGCCAATAACAGAGGACAGTTGGGAACAGCAGAGTGGCTGGAAGAGCACCGGGTGTGGGGTTGCCTGGCCTGGGCTCAGGTCCTGACCAGGTCACTCACTGGTTCATGGTCACATCAATGGTCACTGAGTCTTGAGGTCCTTTCTTATCACCCCCAAAATGACATGCAAATGCTTCCCGGGTACTTTGGAAAAGTTCATGTAGATTCTTGTTTCTCTTTCTGAGTAATATTTGGAAAAACGTTAGAGCTACACTATTACCTTTTATTACACTCTTTCACTCTGAATCTTCATTTCTTTCCTCATTATCTTTTTTTATTTCCCTCCTCTTCATTTTTTCCCATTCTCTCCCAGTATCTTCGGCCTTCCTACCTGTACCTGGGTTGGAAGCAAGAGTCACCTCTGCCTACATGTGCCCTCTCCATGCACATGCACCAGAGGTCCTCCATGTGCTGGGCACCCAAACCTGAAATGTAGCCAGACATCTGGGAACTGCAAAGACAACTCTACTTCCTTGATTTGCCTGGACCCAGGGGTCTCATGGAGAAAATCTTGATGCCTCTTAATTATTGGGGTTCATACATAAATAGACGTGTCTGATAAACCTGGAGAAAGAAATGCAAGAAGAACGGCTAAGTCATGGGGGAAAAGTGAGGTCAGCATCTGAAGCACAGGCCCTGCTCACCAGCAATGTACCGATGACCCCAGAAACAGGGTGAGGCCACCCCAGGCAACACAACTGGACAGAGAGGACTACAGGTACACCAGGCCAAAGAGCACCATTGAGAGGGAAAGCTGGAAGAACTATAGTGTGAGGGGTGCTAGCTCCCTGGTCTTCCAGAAAAGAGCTGGCACAAGAAAAGAGAGACTTTTCTTAGTGCCTGGAGAGAGAGAAAGAGAAAGAGGGGAGAGAGAGAGAGAAAGAGAGAGAGAGAGGAATGAACAGGAGAGAACAGGAGACGGCCCTCCTGGAGGGTAGATGCTCAAGGGACATCAAAGGTTGAGGACAGCTGAGCCCAGTGGCCTGAGCAGAGCCCCAGGCCTTCCAGGGTCTGCCCCATGACCTGTTCCAAGGCCTCCTGATGGACCTGCTCTTAGATTTCCAAGGTTGTGTTCCATTCACCATTCCCACCACTCCCATCTTATCTGTCTTATTCTGTGGATTCCCATGGGATGGGGGGAGATGTTCTGGGTTCAGGCTTCACATCAGCATCCAGCAGACTATATTCCCTGGAGTCACAGAGACATGGCATTGCTGGGGTTACTAAAGCCATAGGGGATCTAGGCCCTACTCATGTCCCCAGCCCCTCACCACAAGTCCATGCCTGGGGTT